ATCGAGAAGAAAAAATTACGACGAAAATGCGAATAGTATTTGATGCCTCGTCAAGTGAAGTCGGACTTTCTTCTCTAAACGAGCATCTTAGTGTAGGCGACAATTTGGTGGCGAATTTGTTGTCTACCCTGATAAAGTTTCGCTCGAACCCTATAGCTTTAACAGCGGATATCGAGAAAGCGTTTCTGCAAATCTCACTAGCCGAAAGTGACCGTGATTGCCATCGGTTTTTTTTGGTATGAGTCAACTCCTAAAGTCAATAGCGTGTTACCATCAATAACCGAATATCGAATGGCCCGAGTTACCTTCGGCGTAGCTTCAAGTCCCTTCCTACTAGCAGCAACGATACAGACGCATATAGAGAGCTGTAGAGATCAATATGGCGTGATCTGCGACAAGCTAAAAGCTTCGTTTTATGTTGACGATCTGGTACTTAGCCTGCCAAACCGTAAATCGGCTGACGACCTTTTTCAAATGGCGAATAGCATAATGGGCGCTGCCAATTTCAACTTGCGTAAGTGGAATACCAACGACATTTTACTAAAGGCCTCTTTTCCAGTTGCAAAGCGTGACGAGTGTACGAAGCCTAAGGTGTTGGGCATAAATTGGTGCACAATCGCGGATGAGCTCAGCGTCGAATTGGCAGGAATTGTTGAATATTTACGATCGTTAAGAGGCACCAAACGGAATGTAATGAAGGCGATGGCAAAGATCTACGATCCCTTAGGAATGCTTTCCCCATTTGTCGTTCGAATTAAAATATTGCTGCAAAGTGTGTGGAAAGCGAACCTTGACTGGGATCAAACTTTGGATGCAGATCTGTTGTCAAGCTTCCAATGCTGGCAAGAAGAGCTGCCAATACTAAGCGGACTGCGTATAAAGAGAAATCTCACAACGTACAGCACAGCAGCAAACGAGATGCACATTTTTGCAGATGCGAGCCCAAAAGCGTATGGAGCGGTAGCATACTTGCGGCAAATTTCTCCTGATAAGGAAATAGTGACAAATTTCATTTGCTCAAAAAATCGAGTAGCGCCTCTTGAGAAGAACTCAGTAAACACCGAACTGAGCTTACCGAAGTTGGAGCTGACCGCAGCCCTGATGGCGGCCAGACTCAAAGCATTTTTAGTTGAGGCTATTGATTGCGATGTTTATGCGACATACATGTGGACGGATTCTACAATTGCTTTGAATTGGATAAGAGGCTGCGGAAAGCAGTTGAAGCCTTATGTCAAGGCGAGAGTGAACGAAATAAACAGTCTGACGAATATATATGAATGGCGCCACTGCGATGGAAAAAACAACCCCGCTGATTTGATTACCAGAGGTATTAAAGCCAAGCAGTTAGCAGAATCAGTATTGTGGAAGTATGGACCAGCCTGGCTGCTAGAACAAAAAGAATGCTGGCCAACAGGCTGTCAAGTTGAGCGACCGACGTGCTTGGTAACTGTTGCAATAAAAGACGATAGCGATACGTACAAACCTATTTTGCAAATCGACGATTTCAGCAGTATGAAGCGTCTGCTACGTGTGACATCGTACATTTTTCGGTTCCTGAACGCTATCAAAACCAACCATGTGCGCGAAAAAGGCCGGAGAGTTAAATCTGTCGCTGACGTCGACGAGCTAACTTATAAAGAGTTGAAAGAGGCTGAGTGCTACTGGATAAGGGATGCTCAAAGGGGTGATTACGAGAAGGAAATCGGCGCATTGCAACAGGGCTTGTTAATCTCATCTGATTCAAAGCTTTTGACTTTAAATCCAATACTGGAGAATGACGTACTGGTGCTCACAGGAAGACTGCATGGAGTTGAATTTGGTAATAGACATACTAACCCAATTATTCTTCCAAAGCATTCTCGTTTTAGCCAGCTGATAATAATTGAGGCGCATAAAGCCACTCTACATGGTGGCGTTAATGCAGTTTTGTCGCACATTAGAAAGAAGTTTTGGATAGTTCAAGGTCGGCAGCTGATTAAGAACATTCTTCAGCGTTGTGTAATATGCAAGCGCCTATACGGCAAAAGCGCGTCAGAACCGTGGACGGTTTTACCAGCCGAACGAATTGCAACGGCTAGGGTTTTTGAAACCACTGGTGTGGATTTCGCCGGCCCACTCTACGTAAAGACTGATGGAGACGACATCCGTAAAAAGGTCTACATAATGCTGTTTACTTGCGCAGCAATTCGCGCGGTGCACTTGGAGTTAGTTGCTGACATGACCGTTAATAGCTGTATCGAGGCTTTGCGGAGGTTTATAGCAAGGCGCGGTACACCCAAAATCATAATCTCAGATAATGCTAGAACATTTAAAAGAGCGGACCTGGAGCTCCGAAAACTTGAAGAACTGGTGAAAAAGAAGGAGGTATTACAGCTGGCTGCACATAAAGGTATCACATGGAGATACATCCCTGAGAGAGCGGCATGGTGGGGCGGTTTTTGGGAACGCCTGGTGCGGTCGGTCAAAAACGCTTTAAAAGCATCAATTGGCAGAGCGGTGCTAACATCAGAGGAGCTTAGAACATTACTTACCGAAGTCGAGAGTGTAGTAAATGCCAGGCCGCTAACTTATATTACCAATGACGATAAGGACTTGGAGCCACTTACTCCGTCGAATTTTCTAATCGACTGCAATTCAGCTATTTTGCCTACAGATTTTCAATCTGACGGGTCGACGATTTCACAAGCCTGGACGCTACGTCAAGCTTTACTGCGGCGCTATATGAAGAGGTGGCGCGAAGAATATCTGCAACAACTTCGCTCCATTTATCACAACAAGAGCGCAGCGTCACGCAGCATAGGGATTGGTGACGTAGTTTTGGTGAAAGATGACAACAAACCTCGCCTTCAGTGGAAGCTAGCAGTCGTGCAGACGACGTACCAAGGACGAGACGGGCGCATTAGAGTATGTGACGTACGAATGCAAGGTCAGCAAGTGCTTAAGAGGCCAATTCAGTTACTCTACCCTCTGGAAATTTCATCATCGATTGCCGGGCCCGAGGATGTTGAAAATTGATGATCGTTGGCAACAATCATTTGTTCCTATTTATCACTTTGTTGTCTTTTACACTTTGTTCCTATTATCACCTTGTTGTCTTTTACACTTTATTTACTCACAATTACACTTACACACATTCACACTTCTAATGTTGAATTCTCTTCATAAATGAATTGTACTGAAACTGAATTTAGTATTAAACCACAAGCCGAAACTGTCGCAAGACCGGGCGAAATCTAAAAGCGTATTTCAATTAATTTTTACATCAAATGTTAACTACTATTACAAAAGTCGCTATAATACTTATTTATACACTTTCAAAAGTCTCCATCTTCTGATGAACTTAGAAAACTACAGGAAAACGTGGTAGTTTCGGTGCCTAGTGGAAGGCGTCTTAAAAAAAGAAGCAGACCAATCTTCATGGAAGAGCAAACGCGAAAAGCAAAAGATATCTATGTAAAAGTTACTGTTTCAAAACTCGCTATATTAAATTTTTATATATAAAATTTGCAAAAAATACCACATTGCCATATTGTTTTTTAATGTTATTAGGCTCTTGTTTATCCAAATTTTCAGATAATAAAGAGAAATATACAATTTGAATGTTATTTGTTGTTGTAGACGTTTTTTTTTTTAATTTATGGATCACTATTATAAAATCACATAACCCTGT